TTCAATTTAAAAGTTAAAACTAATTGGATGCGAATATCAATCTACAATCAATTGGTTGTGAACATCAAATCTAAAACCAATTGGATGGTGTAATGTTCCACTAATCTTTTTGGGAGTTTGAACTTTTTTTTTTTTGTGAATGATAAAAATTTACATGGTACAAAAAAATGATTTCAATTTTTAAAATCATATTTAATCCTCCTTCCCTTCCATATGTTCTGCCTTTTTTTTTCCCTCCCAGATACTGCGAGCCAACCCATCTCCCTTCTTCCCATCTACTTTCCCCCCTCAATTTCCCCCTCTTTCTCCCTAAGAAAAAAACCCTCACTATTTGTAGTTTTTCTCCCGTGCTCCGCTCTCAATTGTCTCTACCGGTTTGAGAGTCGGTGGCATGTGGGCTCGGCGTTCTTCTCCGCTTTTCTGGCTTTTATTGTCGGCTTTTGTTGCTTTAAATTCATTTGGTTTCCACCTTTCTTAGCTCCCTGTTGCCCCTTTTCAAACCCCAACCTCCAGCCTCCTCTATCTTTTCCCTTAGCAGCCCACCCTCATAATTCATCCTCACCCCAACTTTTGCTCAGATACTCGAGCGACGAGCCGAAGATGGAGGCCATGTCCATTTTCGTCCTCATTACCCATACCCGGACCGGCATGCCAGATTTCCCTCGAGGCCAAGTGCTCTTCGACTTATACCAAAGTAGGGGTATTTCATATACCCCTTTAGCCTTACCACTCAACCATCTGTTTCTGTATTTGTATATAATTGTAGGGGTTAGTGAAGGTGATTTTGATTCAGTGGCTATAGTTCGGAACAGCGTTCCTGGTGACAAAATTTGGTTGCAGGTTTGTAACTTTTGTGATACGGTGTCTTGGTTGAATTGATCACTCAATCATTTTCTCTAGTGCGGCTACTAGCAAGGAGTTCATGGCGGTGGCGGCAATTCTCTGTGCTTGGATGATAGGAACTAGAGTTTTGTTATTTTATGTCTTTTGGGTTATTGGGTTGGGCTTTATGTGTGTTTGGATTCTCCAAATGTACTTTGTGTTGGCCTTGTGTAACCCTATTTTTATGTTTAATGAATTTAAGTTTTTGACTGACAAAAAAAGTCATACTTAGTATGGTTTTATTTTAACAGGATGATAATCTAAACTATTCTAATATACAGGAAAGAGGATCTAACTGGCCAAAAAGACTGTCCTGGGCTAATGGCTTAACGCCCATTACCAATAAATAATGAAATTGCATCCGAAGTTCTCATTTTGAGTCTCTTACGCAATATTACTTACATAAAAGGGAAGACGAAAAGATGATATCAAAATTTGAACGAAATAAGAACATTTTCACCCCTAAAAAGCCCACGGGCAATATGCAATTCAATCTCCCAAGTGAATGGTAACTGCCTTTAGTGAACAGTAACTGTCCAAGTGCATCTTCACCCGTAAACTGAATAACCTAGGCAATTCATATTAAAATATTATTAAATTTTTTAATAAAATAATAAAAGATAATTTTATTTTTAATTTCGGATGATAATAAAATATTGGTTGAAAGTATTTGAAAATATATGAAAATATTGAAATGTGGTGTAAGGTGAAAGAACATGGTTAAGTATTTATAGAAAAAATTATTATTTTTAATATTTTTAATTAAGTTTTATGATTTTTTATAATTTGTATTTTTAATTAATTTTAATTGTAGCTGATATCAGCCTTGCGTAACATGTCCCAGGGACTAGGCTAGTCAATTTTAGCATAGGTAAGCAACTAGGCTCCCCCAGAGCCCATTGGATTGGGATGAGGTGGAGGAGTTTTGGGGAGAGGGAAGGGATTTTGAAATAGGTACCAAAAGGAATATCCTATATATAAAAATTATAATCTGCTGGACTAACTAGTCAAGCCCGCTAGTCAATTAAGATAGATTTGTTAGTCGATAAACAAAGATTCAATAACCAATTTCAAATACCAAAAGCTATACTTGTTAGCAAGGCCTCAGTTCGTTCCAATTAATGTGTCAAGTGAGCATAATTGTGAGCACATACTAATTTAATATTCAAGTGATACATGTAGTTGTATATGTATGTGAGATATGTGACACAATATAAATAACTTTGTCAACAAGATGTTTTTAGCCGGAAAAATCCACCTCTGGGCTAAAACGGGGGACTCTCCACTGAGTCCAATCTACTAGTATAATCAAGGTTGTTACAAAGTACCACAAAGCTCAATTCCTAGATCTAGTCTACAGGGTAGCTTTACCTTTGTGTAACCTTGCCTCACACAAGATGGATTCCTTCAGTCTTCACAAAGTCCTCAGCTCTTCACCTTATGACACCGAAAATGTATTGTCTCCAGTCTTCACATGATAGTAGCTCCTCCTGAACTCTTACCTTGTGGCGCTGAGACTAACACACGAACCATGCATATGATGATATGTCAATCATATGCAAATTTGGATTCAAATGTCCAGTCAGTTTCTCCAGTCAAACTATTGAAGGAACTTGATGAGAATCCTAAAATGTATCAGTTTTAAAGATTTGAAACTAGAAACACTTGACCACAAATTTAATGCAAAACCACAAAACAATGCAACTCTATCATTCAATGATTGGGTGTTTAATGCATGAAATAAGGTTTTGCAATTAGGGTTTCATAAATGAAGAACAAAGAGGAAGGTGAGGCTTTAATGCCTTTTTCTCTCTTTCTCTCTTTCTCTCTTTCTTTCTCTAGGAATATGATATGAAAACCCCAAGGAAGAAGTGAAAATCTAGCTAAAGAATATATGCAAAAGGGATGTTTCATTTCAGCTAGCAAGGACAAGGAACATGTGTCACATTAAAAAACAATCTAGGCAGATCCACAGCAAAAAACTCGTAACCAGCAAAAAGGTGTTAGTCAGTCTATGTGGGCAGGTGTTAATTTGTGTGCCTAGCTTGCTGGAAATCTGTGTGCAAGCTTGACTAGACAATTAAGCTAGTCATAATGAAGCAGGAATGTAGACATGAAATGCAAATGCATGAACAAACATTTTGAAGAGAGATGCGCCACTTCGTTGAACATTTCTTCCCAGTAGACACAGCCCATAAACAGAGAAAAGCCTAAAGCTAGATTAAGCATGTGGTACAATTACAATGTTGACAAGGAAAGTCAAACCTAAAAATCTAGACTTCATAGATTTAATCCACTATCCCTTCAGGAATTTGAGAGGGGTGGAAGTGCTGCTATAAGGATCATTGATCTCTTTTTAATCAGAAAATGAAGAAAAGAAATAAAAAGGGGTAAAAATGATCTTAGCTCCATATACTTAGTATTTTTATTCTGCATACAAAAAAAAATAAAAATAAAATTGATCACAGTTGTTCAATTTTTGTAGGTGATTTTTGCTACCCACTCATTAGAGGAAAGACTTAAATGGAAGAGGGTTTATCGGCCTTGTGCATCTTCTTCCAATAATATAATGATATGTATAAAACTTTTAACACATGACATTTTATATTATTAAATCAGGATGCTACATAGCATTAAACCCATTCCAAGTAAGTTGCAGTCACGCCATAGTATTATTTAAGTACGAAAAAAGAAGAAAAAAAAAAACTAAGGACGTGTTAGATTGGCACTATATATAATATTTATATTTCTTGGACTTGTGGAGAAATCCTTACTCCTTAGAGCATCTCTAATAGAAATGAGTATGTTTATAATTGGGTAATGTTAGGGAGACTAAATTTGCAAACTAAATGATGTGTCACCAATAGAAATGAGCATGTTTATCAACGCCTAAGTAATAAACCAATCATCAACTTCCATGTTCTTTAGTTTTCAAAATTTAGTCTACAAATTAAGTTTCCATAGCATTACTCTTTATAATTTGGTTATGTTCATTGAAGATGATTGGACTTAGATTTTTGTTATAACATTTTTCCTAATTGGCATAGGTTAAACTCAAATCTTATATTGAAACCCAAATTTAAATCTCAACTTCATGGGAGACTTATATACGAGTTTTAAATCTTTGATGCCGTAGAGAACCGTATACTACCAAATATAAGATTTAAGTCCAAATTTTCTGATGCGCTAAACATGCTCTTACTAATGTCCTTAATTTGATCTCAACGAAAAATGATAATATCTTACCCACTTATCTTAACTTTCCATGCAACCAGTCATTTAATATTCTATATAGCTACAAGACTACCATACAAAGTTCGCATTCTGCCGTTCAGTCAAACGAACACACAACGCGTGGCCCATAGAAGGCAGCACCGCCACAGGGACCATGGCCTCGGAAGAAGAGAACATAAGCCTAAACCCCAAACCGTCCCCACCGTCCAGTCAACGTTCGTGCATGGCCATTGGCAATAAGTCATAGAACCACTAAGAGTATTTGTAAACGCATTTAACACATATAAAAATCGAATTAGCTTTGTTTTGTACGTGGGTTAAGAAACCATTCCCCACTTATCCAGGGTTGTGCCTTGTCCCTGTTCTTTAAATTGGAGTTCCCGAGCTTTCAAGTTGGGTGAAACCCTAATTTCATAATTTCATTTCTTTGTTTTTTCATGGTTTGATCTGTTTTTTTGTGTAAGGGGAAACCTGAATTCATGGGAGCTCAAAGCACTAGGTTCCTGTATGTGTTCTTGTAATATATTCTGTCTCATTCACTCACTCTTTCTGTCCTTGTTTTCGACGCGAAACAACTTTTCACATCCTCACATTATATATAAGGAGTCTGTTGGGAAAAAAAAAGAAAAGAAAAGGGTTTTGATTTGTTCTTTGTGTAGAGCTTTCAAGATTGGAAGAAGGTCAGTACAGCAAATCAAATCTCTTTCTCACTAGTGTTTTTATGAAGCCTCCATTTCCAAGCCAATTTTACAAAATCTTCCTTCTTTTTAAAAATATTTCCCAACAGTCCTTTTCAACCATACGTAATTCTGGCGTTTGGAAGTTTTTCTTTCTGCTTTTAAAAAAAGCAAAAGTTAAAAGCAGTTTCGCTGGTGTGTACACTTCCAAATTCCACCAATACTAAACCCTTACTGTTTGGTCATCAGAAGTAGATTTTTTTAGTGTTGGAGCAGTTCATTTACTGTGGTTTGGTTCAACCAAACCAATTTCTGGGATAATTATACTCATTTTCTTTTAATCATGTCTTAATCTACCGTTGTGTGCTAACCTTTACCTCTGAATTGATCTATATCACAGAACAAGGACAGGCCAAAGCCATCAATTGTGGGGGTTTTGATAGGAGCCCACTACCAATGAGCACAAACAAGAAAGGCAATTTCTGAGTAATTAGTCAGAACATTTGGAAAAATCTTTCTGCAGAAAGACATAGAATTAAGAAATGGAAAGTGGTTATTTTTCAGCTTGGAAGAGTAACACCGATTCTTTGCATGGCTTGTTGAATGTGGAAGAAGCCGAAGAGCTGAAAATGGCGGCACCATTGCCTGCGATCCCCCAGCCACAAACCCCACAGGAGCCTATGGAATTCTTGTCCAGATCATGGAGTCTTTCAGCTTCCGAAATTTCAAAGGCTCTTGCTCAAAAGCAAAAACAATTTTCCGTCGAAAAAAGTCCCGAAACATTCCCAGAAGCAACTGTTGTGCCACAGCTAGTAAGCTCAATTTTCCTTAACTCGAAGAAATGTTCATGTCAAGTATTATCCTACTTTGTATTGAACTTTGTTGTGATCATCGTTGTTGTAATTGGCTACATAAATCGTGATTTAATTTCAATTTTGGTTCTGTTTTTTATATTGTTTTGATTCTTTCTTGCAGGCAAGCAAGATCATAAAATCTGTCAACAATCGGAGAACGGGGTCTGTCGGAAAATGGTTCCACCATACGGAGTTGAGTAGTAGTGCAGTGAAGAAGAAAGACAAGGAACGGGTAGAAAGGGCGCGAGTGCATTCTGCAGTCTCCATTGCAGGTGTTGCTGCAGCCTTGGCTGCTGTAACAGCAGCAGAGAACTCGAATGGTTCTGGCTCGAAAACCACCATGGCTTTGGCTTTGGCTACAGAGTTGCTGGCATCACATTGCATCGAAATGGCTGAGTCAGCTGGCGCTGATCATGATCGTGTGGCATCTGCTGTCAGATCAGCGGTGGACATCCGGAGTCCCGGTGATCTTATGACTCTTACAGCAGCAGCTGCTACAGGTACTTGCTCACTTCCCAAAAAAAAAAAAGTTGAGCTTTCGAATGGAAAGCTGATGTACCAAGTAATGAACTTCTTGTTTTATGCCATTGATTGTAAATTGATACGAACTTACGAAGTCTTTCTTTAGCTTTGCGAGGAGAATCTGCGTTGAAAACAAGACTACCAAAAGAAGCAAGAAAGAATGCTGCAATTAGTCCCTATGATAAAGGAATGGGTGAAAGTCCTTCGGTTGGTGCTTTTTATAGTAAAGTGGAAGAGCAGCAAGATCCTCCCTGTGTTGGAGAGCTACTGCAACTTACAGGAAAAGGTAACGTATTAAACTCGTCTATATTAACTAAATCAGACTCCAGATGATATAAAAAGTACCGGAAACTCTAATTCTTATGGAAAAAACAGAAATGCATAAGAACTAAATCCTCTTAGCCTTATAAACATGATGTTCTTCTCATGAAATCAGTCGAAACTTGAATGTGTCAAATGGACTTACATGTTGCAATGGGTGTATACAGGTGTTTTACAATGGAAGCATGTCTCTGTGTACATCAACAATAAATCTCAGGTACAAAATCGAGTGAAAGGAATAATCTGGAGAATGATTCAGATAGAAAAATGGCATTCCTAATTCGTATGTTATCTTTTCAGGTCGTAGTTAAACTCAAACGTAAGCACGTTGGAGGAGCCTTCTCCAAGAGGAAGAAATGTAATGCTTCTGCACAAATTCTATGTTCTATTTACAGTACTATGGCCTTGTTTGATAGGGAGGCGGAGGACTAGCTTGGATAGGACTATTCACTACCATTCTTGTGGAGATTAGTAGGGATATCTTTTCATCATGAGTAGCCTTCAACTTGGACAAAAATATGGAAGTTCTCATCCATTTCTTCCTTCAAAACGCCTTCAATGTAGTGAATAGTCCTAAGTTAGTCTTTTCTATCAAACGAGGCCTATATGTTATGTCTTCGTTCATATCTGATCTGTATGTTTGTTGTGTTGGTACTAGGTGTTGTTTATGGAGTCTGTGATGAGACTTCTGCCTGGCCATACAAAAAAGAAAGGGGAATTTCAGAGCAGGTCTATTTCGGTCTCAAAACCGGACAGGGTCTACTGGAATTCAAGTGCAAGAACAAGGTCCATAAGCAAAAATGGGTTGATGGGATCAAAAGCCTTGTTCGCCGAGTCAGCTACATTGATGAAGCTGAGCACTCTTTGGGATTTTTAAGTATAAGTAATAGTATATGATTCACTTCGTCACTTGTACAAGTTACCACAAATAAAACTTTTACTATGCAGTATACTTCTTTTACAAGCAAGAAGGAATATTAGGTTTTGAACAATTCATTGTTCTTATAGGTTACAAGATGGCGAATTTTGTGGTCGGATATGAGTGTTTGTGCATGGTGCCATCAGAAATTGTTCGTTTTCTATATGAAATCCAGAAAGTTTATTTCAAAATTCAGAAGCTTTATTTCATATCATTCAATAAAAGAAACATCGTCTATTATTTCACCTGTGACATCCGCATGAACACTTGGCCTCGACGCAGGTTTTGATATTGCATTCAGTAGGACAGAAGTTGGTGCAATCTGAATCGCTGGCACATTTTGAAGATGAGATTACTCTCTCAGCAGAGTGTTCAGGGCCAAACGGGCACACACAAACGCCAGCAGAACACTTGCTTGGCAACTCTAAACATTTCTCCTTGCAGTGATCAGCCTTACATTTGTCTCTGCAGTCAGCATCATGGGCACATTTGTATTGCTCGTGGTCAGCTTCTGCTCCTACCATCCTTCTCAATGGGATACCTAGGATCCAAAACTTTTGCTTAGATTACTTCACACACAGAGGCTGCTTAGCATTACGGTCTAGTGGTATTTTTCTTCATTTCTAAGTGAAAGGCCTTAGATTTGACTTAAGAGAGAGAGAGAAAGAGAGATTAATTACGTTGGATTCCCTCAATAGTAACAAATAAAATCTCTCTTTTAATAGTGAAAACAAAATCTAACTTTCTGTCCTTATTTAAATAATTTTTTTAGTGAAATGGTTTCCGCATGTATTTTCTCCTTCTGCACACTATTTATTTCTGTTTCTTGATTCTTGTGTGAACGATAAGTCAAATAACTTGAGATGTTATGGTGTAAGAAACAAGTTGTAAGATCTGATGTGCCTTTGGCAACTTCTCTGACTTGTGAACTGGAAGAAAATTTGTAGAACGACGATGAGTCAAATACGTTGCCACAGCCATAGTATTCCATAAATTTTCTTCCCTGTTATGTATGACGAGTGTTTTTTCATGACAGGTAAAACTGAAAGTACACTCGCTAACGTTCGAAATCTGGTACACAACAAATTTGTAAGACTTGCAGAAAAATGGCAAACATGTATTGCAACTTTTCATACAAATGATTTTAATGTACAAACAGAGTTCAACCACCTCTTGACAGATCTATGATCTTTTTTTCCATCAAAATACAACAGTCTTGTTATCCTCGTAAGGTAATACTCGCAGCTCACAGTATGACTTGATAGCCATCGTTAGGCATTGTTTTTCGAGGTTCTCCGATTTCTGCACAAAAGTCTGCAAATTATCTCTGTGTGAAACTCTCGCAACCTGCATATTGGATCAGATGTCTTATAACTTTATGAATTGCAACAATTACTCTCATTGAATATCAATGCTTGGTTAATAGATCTAATTGCCAAAGCTCCGTTGAGGGGCATTGCGCACAGATATTATTTACAACATATAATATAAATGCAAGTCTGTTTCTGAACAATTTGCAATAACTACCTAAGATGATTTGGTGTATGACCAAACCACTGGTTGAGTCACCATATAACAGAAATCAGCAAGTTTTGTACAAATTCTTCAGAAGCATATACTTTTCGTACTACCTTCAATAACAAAATTTATGCACTAACAATTACAGAATGTAACCCACTACCCCTCCATATTAAATTTATAATCATGGTACCAGAACGGATTATTAATTGGTGGATCGAGCCATGATGATTCGATAGAGCGCTAAAGCTAACCCAAGGCCCTCTGTGCCTGACCATTTGATCATCACTCATAAATGCCAGGGACAAGGATTATCAGGTTCTCCTCCAAAAACAATTTCCCTAGTTAATGAAATGCATCTTGAACTAAGAAATATATTCAAGAAGCTAATAAGGGCGTCTTGACTAATTTCAGTAACTGGGTTCACTGCTAATCCTTACAGTAGATGGTATCCATCCATCACATGACCTAGACAGTGACGGGCCTATGTATTGGCCATGGCTTCACCGGTTTTTAATTTCTTATTCTAAAAAATATGGTACAATATTTGATAACATGGTACAAATTTTGAAATAAGTAAATGAACCCCCCAAGTTTAAACAAATTTAGAGTGGCCCCCTTATTCTAGTTCTGCCCTGGACCTAGCGTTTCCCACAGCACAGAAGCACAGTTGTCACACCAAACCTGAAGTATACATGGTTTTATCCAAGATAATTTGGCTTCACAGTCTTTCAATTCAAATTGTCTCTAGTACTTGAACACAGTGAGTTCAATTTGGGAAGTCCCTACTACCCTAGCGAATTCTATCTGGAATTATTGATCCAAAATGCGGTCGAACATTCGTAAACGCTGATTATTGAGAGACGAACATTTACCATATCATTCCCATATTGTAGTGAGATTCTGACAGTAGGCCACTTGAAAGCATTATGACTTGTAGAACTTAGATATATTTATGTTTAACTAGGACTATGCCACCCAACCATGTCATGGGTGGGTAGCAAAGTCATTGTTTCCACTATGATCTACATTATAAGTAACTTGTTTCAGCTGTTTGATCTCGTCATATTTTCATCTCAACTTGCCTAGAAAAGACCAAAGCTTTCTATGGATCAAAGTAAACGCGTAATACTATCAAAAAACAACAAACACGAGAATAATCAGCAATCAACGCCAAAAATCAGCTTATACTGTCAGAGACACAAAACCAAAAATACAGCACAAGGATTTCAAAGCCTAAACAAGGGTAAATTTCATAGCAGCAGTAAAGAACTTCATATTTACCATCTGTTCAATAATAGGCCCAGCATCAAGTTCTTGCGTCACAAAATGAGTTGTTGCGCCAATAAGCTTCACCCCTGCATCAAAAGCCTGCGAACATAATCTAGCAAATTAAACATGTATAGACAGTTAGGATGAAAGTATAGATATACTTTAAAGGGCAACAAACACAGAGAATGACGAGAAGTGTGAACCTGTTTAGATGGTTTTCCACCTTTGAATGACGGCAAAAGGCCATGATGAATGTTAATTATATCCTTTCCATAGCTCTTTAAAAAATCACCGGATAATATCTGCGTAAATAAAAACAATTCTTAAGTTCTTAACTGCTCGTTTAACCCCTTTTGCAACAAATAGTCCACTTTCTCTATTCTTTTGTTTTCTTCCTTAATTTAAAGAGTTTTTGACTCCTGAATATCAAACCAATTAACTGATTCTTTATAACATATAGTAATCGTCGAGTAAAAGCTACAAGGGTGGATGCTTTAGGTTTTGAAAGATTTCAATCTAACTATTTTGACTGTTATAATGTAAGGACAGGAGAAAGCGTGTTCCTCCAGTCATCACTACAAACTTCAAAACAATTTATAAAGTTCGAAATGATAATTGAATGGTGAAAACGTAACCTGATTTACCTGCATGTACCTGGCAAGAACTAAAAAATCAGTGTTTTGAACCAACTCCAGTATCTCCCCTTCTCTTTTGTCATCCATGGTTGTATTTAGATAATGGTAAGGTATACCGTGTCTTTCTAGAAAACGATGCACATGGGTGTTCGGACCTCGATGATGATTACTGAGGAAAAACAATGCTACAACCACAGTCAAAGTTCTGAGAACCAAAATTATGAACTAAAACAGTGAAAAACCTCCAAAAAGCTCACCTTATTACACAAGTTATATCTACTGGAAGCCTGCCTTCCTGCCACTGATGTAATAAATCAACCAGGCAATGATCCTGCAGCAGCATAAAGGTGGTTTTATAACGCACAACATCATAATCTAAAACAACGTGGGTGTATGACTATCAGTGTGTACACCTATAAGAAACTTTACAAATGGCAACACCTGTTTTGAGACAAGGACACCAATCTTATACTTGGGGTCAAGATTTGGAACCCGGACAACAGATCTCATTGCAGAGTATGTTAACGACAGCTTATGGAAATCCTCATCCATTTCCTTTCTTGGCCATTTAAGAGGATCGAAAATAAATTCGCTGCCAAGTTGCAGAGAGTTAGATTTTTTATCTGTGCAGCTGGTTCTATTAAACTAAAGAATACGTGCAATTTGACATATTGCATCAAACAATAGCAACCTGTGAAACCGACATGCTCCATTGCTCTAAACTGATTTCTGTAAAACAAACTGACATTGGAGTACTTTAATCTTTATTTCCTTTTAACTAGCAAACCCCATTGATTGAATTACTAGATTTCGCATCATAAAAATATCACACAGTTCCAATAACAATCATATAAAATTCACTTCAAGCTTTGACATTTGTTATCAATCCATCCAAACAAAACCAACCAGAAAAATTCATACTTTTTATAAAAATAAAAAATAAATTTGACTTTGCAAATGAAATCTGAGGAATTTGGCAAATGAATCAAGCAGAAATGGCAAAAGGGTACCTTCTGGAATAAAAAACGTGCTTGTTTTCGGGCACGAAGATGCTGGCGCCGAGAATGTTTCCGCCTTTAGAAGCAATGCAATCCGATAGCTTGGCCACAATCCCAACTGCATCCTATTTCCAATAAAACCCATTTTCAATCCCTTATAACCTGTTTGGTTTCCCAGAAAATAGAAAGAGAGAAAATGAAAGCCAGTGCAAATCTGCACGCAGAGAGACAGAGAGAGGACTTACGGGGCAATGGAAGACGTGGATTCCGTAGGAGAGAGGGGGGAGAGAAGATGAAGAGTCGAGGGGCTCCCCTGGGAATCTCAAGGACTTGAAGGGCCTCTTGGCAAATCCGAAAAGCTTGGGGAGGCTTGGAGCTGCCCTTTGGACGAGGTTCATTTTCTATCTCTCTGTCCGTCTGTGCTGCAAATGGTGGCGCGCCTATCCTTTTACCTTCTCCACAAACTGAAGCTTAAGTCCGTACTCTGGTGTCGTTTTTGTTTACAGTCGACTCGGTGCCAAGTTCCAACTGCCACTTCCCAAAAAGACTTAAAGAGGGATTTAACTAATTCTTTTTGGACAATTGTCGAATTGCTTAAGCCACTTCGTACTGCGATCTAATGATATTTTTTTTATTTATAAGTGAAAGGTCTTATGCTTGATTCTTGCCAAATGCGAATTTGAACCACATTATTATGGCTAGCCCATTGTGAGGCTTGACTTATTCCATTACCTCGTAATATAGATAATATTGCTTGTTAAAAAAAAAAAAAATGGTGAATTACTTTAGTGGTTATAGTCTTTCCTTTCAGTCCATTGTATTTTAGATTTTTTTTAAATGTAATGTATTTTTCTCTACTTGTAAATAGGATGTCTAAATTCGACACTCGTGAATAACACATTTAATACCAAAATATAAACGGTTTTCACACCAAAGTGTAAGTATATCATTGTATTAAACACTGACGGTTTCCATATAGCCTAAACTTAACCAATCCAAACTAGTTACAGTTTGATTCTATTCGGACCTATATTACCTTTTTTTTTTTCTTCTTGAAACTAAAACCGTTTGATTTTGCCACTTAGTACTACGGTCTAATAGTATTCCTCTTCACTTGTAAGTGAGAGGAGATTCTCGCCAAAGGCAAATTTAAACCACATTATTGCTAATCCATTGAAGGCTTAACCCATTTCCTCACCCCCTAATATCGTTTGTAAAAAAAACGGTTTGATTTTTATTAGTTTGGTTTGGTTTGGCTGATTTGAAAAGTTGGACCAGTTTAATACTTATCCCTAATATTATGCATTGTGTTTGTTTGGTTACATGCAATGCTCGATTATCCTAATCGTTACTCACTTTTATTCACAATCCCTGCCACTTAGGCAAATACCTATTAGACACATTTAGGGTTATGGAATGATGAGGGTTGGTGCGGTTGATTCCAATCAAGTGATCAATATGTTGAGGAGTTGGTTGATTGTTGTTGACATGTTCTTTTAGGGTGCTTTTCGAGACCTTGCAGGGTTTTGGACGTTGTTAGGGTATGTTTACTTAACAAAATCGAAAAAAAAAAAAGATGAAGAAATTGGGAAAATTTTTATCTTTTTTTTTTTTTTTTCTGGACAAACAACAATATCAACACTAAGTGGAAGGAGAGTGGGCTTATTACAAGTGAAGAGGAATACCACTAGATTGCAGTACTAATAGAAAATTACGGCTTAATTTTCATGTATTGCATAATTTGGTATATAAGTACACAAAAATATCCTTCCTAATAAAAGACTCTAATATTTACATAATATTTACGTTCCTATTTCCCTAAAGATTACTCACGCCAATACTCATTCTCAAGTTAGAGCATAGATGTCACATGTGCCCAACTTGATAAGTGAGTCACCAAAAATCTTAATACACACAACATGAGTGAGAATATCTGTAAGTTGTTCTTCCGAGTTCACAAATGGTATTGACACAATCTTCTTCTCCAACTTTTCCTTAATGAAGTGTCGATCAACATGATTCTTTGCGATCTCTCTTGCCGACTTATTGTCACAGTACAAATTCATTGCCTCTTTTTGTTTGAAACCAAGACCCCAATGCAACTTATGCAACCAAAGGACTTCACACACTCCATGTGCCATGCCTCTAAACTCAGCCTCCACAGAAGACCTAGACACCACCTTTTGTTTCTTACTCCTCCAAGTAACTAAATTTCCTCCAACGAACGTAAAGTATCCAGATGTAGAACGTCTATTAGTCACATCACCTGCTCAATCAGCATCAGTAAACCCCTTAATTTTTTGATGACCGTGATTTTTATACAAAATTCTCTTCCCCGGAGCAGACTTTAAATATGCTAAAATTCAGATAACCGCAGCCATATGATCTACACTCGGTGAATGCATAAATTGACTCACCACACTTACTGCATAGGCTATATCTAGACGAGTGTGAGCTAAATAAATTACTCTCCCTACTAATCTCTAATATCTGCCTTTATTCACTGGTTCTTGACTCGGATAAATTCCCAAGTGATGTTTCTCCACAATAGGAGTATCCATAGGCTTACACCTAAGCATACCTGTTTCCTTTAACAAATCTAGAACATATTTTCGTTGAGACAAGAAAATACCTTTGAACGATGCATGCCCTAAACGATGATGAAATAACAATACCTTATATAGATTACTATTACACGACGCACGAACCAAATTAGCTCTTCCAGGAACCACATCATCCACATAATATAGTCCCTCTCTCTTAGTGCCACGCTCAATGATTTCCTTTGTCTAAATATGCTGAAGCAAGCAAAATGAAGGATACATTAATACAACACAATCCAATTTTTCAGTGACTTGGGGTACAGACAAAAAGTGATGGGACAATGATGGAACCAATAAACAATTATGTAAGGGAAGAGAGGGTGTAAGAGACACTGTTCCCGTTCCAACAATAGCATCATTAGAACCATTAGCAGTTGCCACACACTTTCTATGAGGATCTTTCATGGACTGAAACAAAGTTCTATCATATGTCATATGATCCATTGCATCGGAATCTAAAATCCAACCTGTATTGGTCATTGTAATAACAATTGCACAACAGTCATTACACACTGCACATCACTGACAAAACAGCAAGTACGCACAATACTGATACATAACAAACTACGCAATTGTAGACAATCACGTGGCATAATACTGCAATTCCAGCAGTAGACAAACTGATCCATGGACATAAATAGCTAGAATAAATTGTAGCGTACGGTACAAGAGAACAATTCACACATTGCAAGCAGCCACGATTCCTTTTATTTATTTATTTTTTCCAAAATTTTTGCTGAACTTGTAGACAGAATCTGCACACTGATACACAGAACAACTGGTACATGGATAATGTTGCAAATAGAAGGATGAAATACTAGTACTTTACACGCATAGGAACAAAGGCACGATATTGGACAACAAGCCAACCGTAAAAGATAATTTGGATTACTGCCGCACTAAAGACAATAGTAAAGCACGGCAGACAACCCTTTTACACAGGCTGAACTTGAAGTTGCTGCAGCGGAATACAAATACTCTTGCCTAAGCCAAATTGTTTACTATCCACAGGATTAAGTAAAAAAGGTACATTGACAATGGGTGCAAAGCAATCGTATACTAACAATTGCACAACAATTGTACACTATAAAACCCACGAGCGCAACAATACCATTGAACGAAACCAAGCTCTTGATGCCAAATAGAAATTTACAGCTTAATTTTCATGTATTTCATAATTTGGTATATAAGTACATACATTCCTTGTTCTCCAAGGAAACAAAAAAGGACACAAAGAAATATCCTTCCTAATGAAGGACTCTAATATTTACATTCCTATTTCCCTAAAGATTACTCACACCAATAGTACTAAGTGATAAGAAATCAAAGAATTTGGATATTTGATTACGGATTTTAAGGGGAAACTTACGCTTTTTTGATTTCATATGCGTAAGTAAATATGGGGAAAAAAAAAATAAAGAGTGCAATGATTCTCATACTCATATTTTAGTAAACACAGAAAACTCAAGAATAAAAATGATTCAAATTCCTATTCTTGCAAGTAAGCATGTTGTTAGCGTGAAACTTTTTTGGGTGTTTGAAGGATGTTAAGCAGCAAGGCCTTCGTTAATTAAATTGTTGAATAAAAATTCAATGGGTGTTGTGGCTTATTTTACCTAACAGGGGAGAAAGGGGGCGCACGGTACAGAGAGAAGGAGAGAGAGAGAGAGAGAGAGAGAGAGAGAGAGAGAGAGAGAGAGAGAGAAAGAAAGGAAAGAGATGTGTTTGTAGGGTTGTGTAGATGATGTGTTATTCCCCTTACGTCGTGCCTTTATTTATAGTAATAAGGGAGGCAAGAATCCTTTTCCTCCAAGGATTACAAGTCCTAATAGGGAAGAATAACTAGTAGCCAAAACCCTAAGGGAAAAATACTCCTAATCGTAGGGAAAAAGAGTACATTAAGATCAAGCAAGTATACTTCAGGATACTCCCCATGAGTTTGACATAATTCCAAAGAGAACTAACATTGTTATAACTCAGAAAGTTTATGCATACCTATTCCTTGAACAAGCTTTTGAAATGTCACCTTTGGTAGTGATTTAGTGAAGAGGTAGACCAGATTATCTTGTGAACGGATTTGTGTAACTTCAATCTTCTAATGCTGTTGCTATTGATGTGAGAAGAAGAACTTCAACGCAATGTGCTTGGTGTTGTCTCATTTGATGTAACCCTTTTTGAGCTGTTCGATGCATGATGCGTTATCTTCATAGATCGTCGTCGGGACATCATCAACAATAAGGTAAAGATCGCAGGAGCTTCAAATATAGCCCACAATTGCTCTCTGCTAGAAGCATTCCCGAGTTGCTTCGTGTAAGGCGAGAATTTCAGCATGGTTGGACGAAGTGGCAACTAAGGTCTGTTTAGTTAACTTCCAAGAGATTGCGGTGTTTCCAACGGTAAAGACATAACCTATTTGAGAGCGCACCTTGTGCAGATCAGATAAGTATCTTGCATCGGCGTAAACCAACAAGGCGAGAATCAACTTGAGATAAGGGGGCGTAACATTATATGACGATCTGTAAGGATAGAGTAAGCCTAGATCCCTAGTACCTTTAAGGTAATGGAAGATGTCTTTCACACCAGTCCAGTGTCTGGGTGTTACTGTATCTTGCCAAAAGATTAACAGCGAAGGAGATGTCAAGTTTAGTGCATTGAGCTAAGTACAACAAAGCGCCTATCGCATTTAGATAAGGAACTTCGGGCTCCAAAACCTCTTCATCATCATTCTTAGGATGGAAGGGATCTCGTTTTGCATCTAGTGATCGAACGACCATAGGAGTACCCAAAGGCTTTACTTTATCCTCGTTAAAACGGCGCAACACCTTTTGGGTGTAGTTCGATCGATGTACTAAGATTCCATCCTAACGATACTCTATCTTGAGACTGAGATAATATCGAGTCTTTCCTAGATCTTTCATCTCAAATTCCAACTTCAATTGCGTGGCATTTCTCGCGAGTTACTCAAAAGTTCCGATGAGGTTCATGTCGTCGATATAAACTGCTACAATAATAAAATTGGAATGTGACTTCTTAATGAACACGCAATGGCATAGTTTGTTGTTCACATATCCTTGACTAGTCAAATACTCACTAAGATGGTTATACCACATTCTTCTAGATTGCTTCAAACCATATAGTGAACACCTCAGCCAAATTGAGAGTGCGTTATGAGGTTATGGAAATATTTGATCCAATCAATGTAAGTCCTTCGAGAACTTTCATAAAAATTTTTGTATCAAGATCCCTATAGAGATACGCAGTTACTACGTCAATGTCTAAAAATCAGCTAAAAGTAGTTCATGATTAAGATTCTAATCTTTCATAAGGGTAATAGCCTCTTGAAAGTCAGAAACCTACATTTTGGTATTCTTCAGGTCATCTACTTACATAAAGTTTGATTCGAACTTTTTATGACGAGAATGATATTCAGCTACAACCTTCCAGGGAGTACTACAAACACGGGATACATATTCATGGTGTTTGGTGCTTTGCCTTTATTCTTGAAGTTTGGGGGTCTTAGGAGTAAGGTTAGGGTGCTTCTGGGCTTGATTTCCTCCCTTAGATGGGTCTTGGCTCTATTAACCTTGATGGGGTGGCTTCTGGCCGCTTGTACCACTTCTATGTTGGTGTTTTGGGTGTTGGTTTGTGCTATAATGTGCTTTAGGCACAACAGTCGCCTCAGTAAGTCGAGCTTGATGATTTTCCATCAACAACTAATTCTGCTTTTCCGCGAGAAGTAAAACAGAGATCAAATTTGAAAATTTAGTGAACTTTTAAGCCCTATATGGTTGTTGTAGGACAATATTGGTAGCAGAGAAGGTCAAATAGGTATTCTCCAGGAGATCCTCTTCGGTCAAGTTCTCATTACAGAACTTGAGAAGTGATCGGATTCGACAAACTTTAGAATTTTATTCATTCACAGACTTAAAGTCTTGAAAGCACAGATGTTGCTAGTCATGTCTTGCTTCATATAAGAAAATATCATTTTGGTGATCGAAGCGATCAGTCAAAGCGACCTAAAGCGCTCGTGAATCTTCTTGAGCAAGGTACTTGGTTTATAGTGCATCATGAATGTTTCGGATAAAGATCGTGGCAGTGGCTTTCTCAGTTTTGCCAACCGGGGTGTCCGTCCCATCTTCAATGGTAGGATGCAAATTCGTTGCGGTGAAATGGAGCTTCACATTTTGGACCCACTTGAGGTAGTTTTTTCTGGAGACCTCTAAAGCGGTCAAGTTGAGTTTGTTCAAATTCAACATGTCTCTATCAAAAAATTAATGGACATGAATATGGTTAGTGTAATGGAGAAAAAATCAATCCATTCACATAGGAGTAGAACATTCAGGTTCTAATAGACATTTATTGGTTTAAATTTACATGAAAAAACTTGGAGTTTTCACGGGTGATGTTTTTAAGGAAAACTTCAGGTTTTCAAACAAGGGATGCTTCTAGAAACTTCGGGTTTTGAAAGAATTATGAACTTCAGATTCATATGTTCATGCAGACAAACATAAATATATATACAGAAATATGCAACAAGAAAATATGCAAATAGATCTTTAGGTCTCGAATTATAATTGAATTAATTATTTGGACTTCGGGCCAATATTAAAGTGTGGGTGAAAAATTATAAAACCCAAAAATGCCTGCAAAAATAGGCAATTAAACTCGGGGCCTAAAAAATAATGGGTCAAAGCCCATGGGTAGGCTGAGCAGATTGAGACTGTGCGGTCCAGGCCCAAAAACATGGGCTGGGTTGATATGGGTAACATGCCTAAGAAAAGAGGCCCAAAAGGAGCTCTCATCTGGTGCACCAAGAAGCAAGCTAGGGCTGCAGGCTCTATCCGGAGGTATGCTTTGGTGTTTCACAGTGTACGCATATCAGGGGTACGCAATCCTATGTGTTGTGGCACAAGGGAACATCACAACCTTGGGGGGCTGTGATCAGGTGTGTCACGATGCAAATGCATCGACTTACCAGCTACAGGCTGGGATCTGGTGTGGTTCTGTGAACGAGGACACCATAGCCTTATATGTTGGTGTCACATGAATTGAATATGGGCTGCAATATGCAAGCCCAAAACCAATAATTGGTTTTAGCTTTGGGCTGAGAGGAACCAAGCCCTAATTGGGTTTAGGTTTGAACCAAAAACACCCCAGCCATAGCTGGGTGCGCTCATTGGGGAAGAAAATCAGAGCCACCGCTTTAGACGGCCGTGTTTTTGGACAAAAAAATCTCAAGGCGAGTTTGTGAATCAATGGGGATCACGAATATGAACGGAGGTAGGGAAATCTTAACGTTTCAACTAAAAACCCTAGAAATTCAAATCGGAATTTCGAAAAAAAATCTGATGAGATTTGAAGGAATCTTTGGAAAAACTCGCGGGAGACGTTCATGAGGACGTTGAGACAATGACCCAATGTCAAGGTTGGGTTGCAGTCCCTTTTGCAATGGTAGAGACGCCATTAGAGGCGTCAGATTTTGTTGGGTTTCAAACCAGGAGCCCATGGCTCCGGCATGTCGTCTTGCAGCTCAGCGTAGCTACGTAAGCTACAAGCTGGTGCTAGTGGCTCGACGCGGCGTGGCTGGAAGCCAACTGCTCGCGACATGGTGGTGACAGGATGGGTTTCTTGAAAAACCCTAACTTTAATTTTTTTTTTCAAATTTCTAGATTATAATTCAATGCATATTCAACATATAATTCAATGCATGAACATATATTTGATGCAATTCATGGCAATATCAATTCACATAATTCAACAATTATGGATATAATGCAGACACAATGTATGTAGAATCTAAAATTTGAAAAACGTAAAGTTGGGTCATGCATTATGGTGAATGCTCATGCTATTAGGGCTGCAAAAATAGCGAGATAAAAACTGTTGTTTTGGAAGAACCTAATTGTGTGATGACATTGATGAACTGGTTTGATGCAAAAAACTTCCACGTCAGATTCCTGAGTGCAGCAGTATGAGTGAGCTGATAACGTCTTGTGGCTTATTTTATCTGATAGGGGAGAGAGGGGGCGCACGACATAGAAGGAGTAGGGAGAGAGATGTGTTTGTAGGGTTGTGTAGAGGATGTGTTATTCTTCCTACGCAATGCCTTTATTTATAGTAATAAGGGAGGGAAGAATCCTTCTCCTCCAAGGAATACAAGTTGTAATAGGGAAAAATAACAAGTATCAAATCTAATCTAGGATTTATACAATCACACTTAAATACAATATTTATAACAACGACAAAAAATTCAGATATATATAAGATCCTAAGCATACTTGAAAATCTAAAATTATAGGGTGGTGCTATGCAACACAACCTTTTTTACCTTGCACACTCCTTGTTAATTCTTGTCTTTTGATTCGACAGACGAAATTAAAAAATGTGCGTGATAAGTAAAAAGAAGTGTGGACTGTGCACGAAATTAACTAACTTGGGCTGTGCCTTGGTGCCACTTAACTTAGGCCCATCCAACGCTCCCAGAAGTGCAGAAAACAACATTACGAAGTAGCGGCTCGAGTTAACAACTTTGTGAGGAGCCATTGATTCCCGACTCAAGGGCTCAACGCCGATCCTCTTCCTCCCTCCATCGTCAAACTGAACGATCCTCCGCCGCCTCCTCTGTCACCTCCGGACGGCCTCTCGTTCTCTCAACCTTCAGAGCCCCAACAATGCCTGTAAGTCTCTCTCTCTCTCTCTCTGATCATGGATCTAGATCTGTATCTCTTTGTTTATGAAAATTGTGAATCATGGAGGCTTAATCTTGTGCGGTGCAGTTAAGGAGATTGATAGAGGTGGAACCGCCGAGCCCGCTGAGATACATAATCGGAGCTGCGATCATGATGATCGGAGTGGTCTTACCCGTCGGTTACATGATGTTCCGTAACAAGCGCGTCCCTACTTCTTCTTCGTACTCCAAACAGACGTAGGTGTGCCCTTTTAAAATTTTTCGTTTTCATCATTTCCCACGCCTTTAATTTCCCATAGTGGTCAAATTGCCCCAGTAAGTTTTAAGTTTAGGAATTGTTCTGAATCTGATTTGGGAATTTTTCTCTTGGTATTTCAGAAACAAAGTTTTGATATAGAGACAGAGAGAGAGAGATTAGAGAGATTACAAGGATTTCGGATTTGATTTTTCGTGTTCAGAAGTTGAAAAGCTGCGAGGCACTGATGGATCCGTCACCGTCATTTACAAATGTAAATTCATTCAAACTTCAAATCTGTTATATGGATTACTTAAGCGAAATTCTGTACAATGAATGATATATGCATGTGATTTGATATAGTCTTGTATCTCTTGGTTTCGTTATTCAACTGGAATTGATGCTTGTTAATTATAATATATTCTACCTCTTTTTTTTTTTTTTTTTTTTTTTTTTTTTTGGGGTGGAATAATTTTGCCCATTTTCTTGATTCCTTTAAGCATTTAGCTATTTCCGTAAGGTTGTATCGAAAACTTCTCGGTTATGTAGCGTGATTTGTGAGGAAAGATAGGAAGATTGATTATCTAATGAAGAAAATACATTTGCTTTAGGTAGAGGCTGGATGGAGCGATAAACAGTCGCTTGTAGATGACCCCGATATGTTGGGATGAATCTAGTTGAGTTGAGTGTAAAGATAGTGAATATAAGCTACCCACTATTAGTTTCACCAATACACTTGCTTGTGGTAATGTCCTCCGGTTTCGGTTTGATTGACTGGTGGACTGATTGATTATCCTGTATGTTCTAGTACCTAGTTATGTTGACTTATCCAGAAGAAATTTTCAGTGGTAGTGGCATTCAGCAATTCTAGTCTAGTTTTCGGTTCACTTTCATGTTATTCGTTTTGGTCTGACTGGTCGAAGTGTTTCGAACAAGTTGAATTGATGTGTAGCGTGATTTGTGAGGAAAGATAGGAAGAATATCTAATGAAGAAAATACATTTTGCTTTAGGCAAAGGCTGGATAGAGAGATAAATAGTCGCTTGTAGATGACCCCGATATGTTGGGATGAATCTAGTTGAGCTGAGTGTACAGATAGTGAATGTGCTTACCCACTATTAGTTTCACCAATACGCTTGCTTGTGGTAATGTCCTCTGGTTTCGGTTTGATTTACTGGTGGAGTGATTGAGTATCCTATATGTTCTAGTACCTAGTTATGTTGACTTATCCAGATGGAATTTTCGGTGTTAGGGGCATTCGGCAATTCTAGTCTAGTTTTTGGTTTGCTTTCATGTTCTTGGTTTTGGTCTCACTGGGCGCAGCGTTCATTCGAACAAGTTGAATTGTCCTTGTGCAAAGATGCATATTATGGTGTTTACCGTTTTGAAGTTGTCTATTTCTGTGATGATGTTATTCTTTTTTGCTGTAAGTCGTGTGCTAATATGAATTGATAGTTTACTTAGTCGTAGTTAATCCAAATTATGAGGTGTTAGTATTTATGAACTTTAAGGTTTAAATCCGTTAACATGCGTGAGCTATGCAATTAAAGAAAGTTTTCTCTTCAATGGCAAAGATACTAAAGTGAAACCCTATACGCATGTGCTGTTCTTTGAATCCTGTTTAGAGTCTATATTACAGGGTTGTCTGCATGCATACACAGCTAGCATCTACTCTGAAAACTAGCTACTAATTGAATTCCAACGTGAGAAAATATAATCTTAATCGACCAATATGGTTCATTGACACATTCTGACCCGGATATTCTGTGAACATTGAACTTGATGTGTGCTGACCATCATCCGAAGAGGTGACGAAGCCATGATGTGCATGGAGTCATAACTAAAATTTTCAATTGAGAAAAGTGAGATAAGCCCAAAATAAACACCTGCAAGTTACCACATTTTTCAACACAACCCCGAAGGGCCATACTTGATAGGTCTTCGACCGTCTATTACATAAACGATAATATGTTAAGAGCACGGTTGACTAATACCAATTCTACAGGTAAAACTGAGTAGATATCCTACTCGGTAAGAATATGCCAGAGCCTATGAAGGTGTGTCGACGTCGAATATGCTAATAACAATTGCTACTTATTCCAGTTGTTTAAGCGTTATTAGCATACAATCTCATACACTAGCCATAACTAGTGTAAGTTGAAATATAACTATGTAGTTACTGATTAATCTAGAAGTAATGACAAGTTGAGAGCATATAATCATACACTGGAAGCTGACAAGCTAAATATATAGCATACACGTGTAAGTTGGATGTCATGTCCGTAGTATGGATAAGCTGAATATATATCACAGTGTAAGTTGGATGTCATGTCCCCATATGGACAAACTGAATATATATCATGCACGTGTAAGTTGGATGTCATGACCTTATTATGGACAAGCTGGATATATAATACACGTGTAAGTTGATATTGTGTTTCAAATATCCAAGAAATGGTTAAAATTTTCATCGAAATCTAAAAAAATTAAAGATTGATATAGAAAGGGAGGGTGAAACGCAAACTTAACTCCATATTGGTGAGGTACAGGAAAATCAATGAATATCAGCGATATTTACAAACTCACTACTAAATTTTGCCGGAACCCATTGCAGATTTTGAACCTTTGAATTTTTATGGAGAAATTTCTATTTTATTTCGATTAAACGCAAACTTAACTCCATATTGGTGAGGCACAGGAAAATCAATGAATATCAGCGATATTTACAAACTCACTACTAAATTTTGCCGGAACCCATTGCAGATTTTGAACCTTTGAATTTTTATGGAGAAATTTCTATTTTATTTCGATTAAATCTGAATGAGTTGATATACTCACTCCATTGAAAATTTTCGTAATTTTCATTGAAGGCACTAATATGTTAGCGATATCGATATATCCATAGATATTTCTATAAATTTGTACATCGATACTTCCACTTAAGTCAATATTTTAAACACTGACTGGATATATATCATACACATGTAAGTTGGATGTCTTGTTCGTAGTATGGACAAGTTGAATATATATCATACACATGTAAGCTAAATGTCATGTCAGTAATATGAACAAGCTGAATATAAATCATACATGTGTAAGTTGAATGTCATGTCCGTAACATGGACATGAATGAATGCCATGTTCACTAGCCATAAATAATGTAAGCTGAAACATACGATTACACACTCACACCTCCATACGTAACTGCAATCATAATTAGCTAAGCATGTTTGATACGTAAGACATTTCTGAAATAAAATCCATTCACACCTTCAGCTTACTCCCCCCTAAGAAGCTTATCCTTGTCAATCTAGTCTGTACCTAGATCAAAATGATGTGGTAGAAATTAACATACAAATTAAACCTTATAAATTATGCAATCGTAGTATGAGTAAGTAGGGATTGTTCTATTCCGGGGATTAGAAGGGATGCTAATCAACACAAATTAAACTCAATAAATTGAAAACTAAGTTAAACTAACAACAAAACAATGACTGGGGGGATTTTGGACGAATTTAATTAAAACAAAAGCAAATGGCAACAAGTAAATTAAGTTGTGAATGAAATATGGATGAAAGGATAACTAGATGATTCTTCTCTACACATGAATCATATGCATACAAATTGATTTCCAGTTATTCTTCGTATAAACCATGAACAACAATGCCCCAAATTATCTGTGAACAACACTAATTAACTCTCAAATTTTCTTAAGTTCATTGAATTGGACTCAACGACACAACCAAATTATTTTTCTCAAGTTCGCTAACTATGAAAAGCATGATAGAGATACATCTCGAAGATCATTAAGTTCTGTGAAAATCATAAGCATTGACAAAACATTCGTAAGTATGAAAAGCATGATACTCTTACCAAGGATTTACTTAACTCGATCATAACTCGTGACTTTTACTACTTGCAAATATAAGTTCATAACGATTAAGTGGAATTCTCTTATATTCTAGCATCAAATCCCTGCATGCAAACTAAGTATGCATCCTTAATAAACATACAAGAATAAGTTTTCTATAAAGTAGATAAGTAAATCGTATTCATGTTTTATGAAACAATAATTGGATGTAATCAATTTATATAGAACATATGATTATGGTTTCGAATTTACCTCTAACTAAAAAGAAACTTAGTTACAGATGTTCATCATAACTGAAAAACAATATAAAATAAACATTGAAACTTAAAACAAAGAGAGAAAGAACTCTGAAAATTCCAGCAACTTCAATGGATGAATAGTAGGAGTGGCACCCCTCAAACGTTGCACGACACTTCATATATGTGATGGCACGTCCCAAATTAATATATATTTTATCCTTGGAATGCGTGAAAATGACGATTTTGCCCTCGTGGGTCTTGTGACGTGGTGTACGTAGATAATTTGTGAATCATTTTTCTATTGACGAAATCAAATTATATTTGATGCCACGAGAATGCTGACGTGAATTAAGGGCCTTGTTAGGTTGTAGTGGAAAATTGGGTTTGTTTGGATTAAATTGTTAGCCTTAAATTTTATGGCCCAAATTAAGGCCCTATCTTTTTTGTTATCACCCAACCCGGACCACACACACACACATTCACCCTCACGTACCTGCACTCACCCTTTCTCTCGATTCTTCCCCGTCCGTATAGTCCGTACGCCCACACACCCAACCAATCTCGTCGTGCACATATCGAGCTAATGGATACTACTTCTAAGTTCCTTGCAAGCTGAGGAATACAGTCATACCAGTAGTTTGGGGAAAAGACCTCAAGAACCTGAGAATCCTTAAACTTCGGCGCGGAGTTAAACTACTTCGACGTGATCGTGGGATCTACTTAAGGATTTAACACTCGTGGTAGTTCTCAAACAACTTCCCTAGTCTTTTAGAACAATTTTGGAGTAGTTTGGACGTCGAGATACACGGGTTTAGGAAGTTGCAGATTTGGCCGGGCTGTCGAAGAATTTTTTGACCATGTTCCATTGATTTTAGGCTTTTAAATAGGTAGGATCATGTTCTTCTAGTTGAGAGCTTCAATTTGGTACCAATTTCATGAAAGTTGGTGTTAAAACAACGAAGATATTAAGATTTAAAGTTTTTCCAGAAACCGGCTAGTGCAGAGGCGGCCAGCTTCAAAATCTGGCGAACCATTGGAGAAGAAGAATAATATTCCGTCAACTTTGACGGAATATGCTAACAGCGTAAAGTAACACTGTTAGTTTTTAGATAGAATATGCTGTTATTTAACAGAATATTCCTTAATGCCGTTAGGGATCCATTGTGTCAGGCACATAGCCGTGCCTTTGCCAGCGCGTGAGGGCGCGTGTGATGTTGAAATTTTTTTCTATAAGTATGGGGATGCTCGTGGTGTTGAGTAGGCCACAATAGTATATTCAAACACCCCAATTGAGTGACGTATGAGAAGTTATTTCATAGTGATGGTTATGTGCTTAAAAGTAACATTAAAATAGTTGTTTCACATATAGGTGAGACGTTTCCAGAGGACGAGCGTAGCCAGACAAGACTTGGGGGTTACGACCCGGCTACATACCAGTGAGTGGGCTTTTTGGTTATATATATATACATATATATATGCCTTATGTTTCCTATAAATTGCTTAAATGGGTTTTTACGTTTTAAATGCCATGTTGTATGCATTATATATTAGAATATGCCTTATTATAGCTATGCATATTACTGCTTGACACTGTGGACGCTCAAGTAAGCTTCAGGTGAGTATATAGTGATGATTGTGATGGTAGTGAGTATGATTATGATGAGTTGATTTTAGTGATTTATATCATGCATCCCGGTGTTAGTGCTCCGCCCGAGGATAGGGCCTAGCCTTCATGTGATCGTTTACCTCCCGCACCACACACTCACCTTGGATTCAAG